AGTAAGTAGATTTTTTTTTTCAGGTTTCTTTGATGAATAGAAAGTTCAGAAGAACAGCATTTATCTGAAATAGAAATCTTTTGTAACATTATAATCTTTTTGATCAATTTAAAGCATCCTTGCTAAATAAAAGTATTATAAATAAAAAAAAATTGCAGCGCTAAATAAAATTTCTATAATTTCTTTCCCCCCCAAAAAAAATTTAATTGGACTGGTACTGTAGGCTGATTATTCTTATAGATTGAAACAAATGTGCTTCAGCCAGGATAAAGAATATGAAAAGTGCTCTGAGTTGCTGCAGAAAACAACAAAATTGAGCAACAACAAAAGCATGTTGCTGGAGTCTGGCTTATTATTGAAAATGCAAATTCATTCTCTGCCAGCAGGAGGCGCTTTTAGAGTTATAAAACTAGCGGTTTCCCCAGTAACGGCTGTAATCAAAGCAGCTCCGCTCTTGAACGCTACTTTATCAGATAAAAATGAAAATGTCATAGAAACTTTTCTGAAGTCAGTCGGTTCCCTTCAGAGATACATTCATATAAAACACCCGCTCCACGTTTTGATTTTGAAATGTGCAGTGCTCATTTTTATTCAACGAAATCAAACGCCACAAATAAATCAATGTATGGGAAACACTGTTAATGTATATCGAAATATCGGAAATGTGTTTAAAAATCATATCACCGTTATTGAAAAAAAATTATATCACGATACATATTGATATTGAATTATTGTCCAGCCCTAAGTCATTGTCAATATACTATAAGGCCTTACACAAAAGAACTGAAGAGACATTTGTAATTTTGTATATCTGATACGTATTTAGTATATTTGTATAATATTGTACAGTAGCCTACAGTACAGTAAAGCCATGGGTTTACTCGAGAATTTCCTATGGGTTTTAGAATAGTAGTTTTGATTTGAGTAAAATAAAGAACTCATAACTTATCTGTGGTTAACATCACTTAATGGGACATAAATGACACAAATTCATACATTTAATTCATTTTTGAAAATGTATTTCTTTATTTTCTTTATTATCAACAGCTTTTTCATGGCAATATCAAAGTATTTTTAAACAAACAATAGACAAATAGGCTTCTTACAACATAGCAATAACAACTATCTTTTTTATATATATATATTTGCTAAATATCCTAAAAGTTTTGAATTCTGAAATTGCTGTGTGGTTTAAAAACAAGTTGCTAGCATAAGGAACACCAATTTGCTACATAAGGACTGTCCGATTTGTCAAGCACATAACTTGACATTAACATCCTTTGTGGTAGTTGTAGCTTTTGTTTAACAAGTTATATTTTTAAAAACACAGTGGCTCCATAATGCATATGAGGAATGACTGCATGGAGAGAAAAAAAATTTTTCACCCAAAATATTCTAGTACATTTTACAAAGAAAAACCAAGTAACACAAGTAAACAAGTAAAATGGCTGAAATATGCAGATGAACATACTCCAATATTATTTGTTTTATTAACACCTTTTTGTTTATTTTATTTACACTATTTTAGGTATGACACAAAACATGAAAGTCTCTTCAAATAATGTTAACCACAGACATTTTACTATATTGTACCAAAAAAATATAAAATCATAAACCATAATTATGACCCATGTAAGATTCATGTGTAAATCAATCTAAAAACTTTTTTTCTTTTGTAAGTCACTTTGGATAAAAGCATCTGCTAAATGCATAAATGTAAATTTAAAACCCAGTAGGAAATTCCCAACTCAAATTGCTGGTTTGGCCAACAAACTGACATCACAACTAAGCTATTGGCTTCACAACAGGAATCAATCTTAAAGGGGTCATATGATGCTGCTAAAAAGAACATTATTTTGTGTATTTGGTGTAATGCAATGTGTTTATGTGGTTTAAGGTTAAAACAACACATTATTTTCCACATACTGTACATTATTGTTTCTCCTCTATGCCCCGCCTTTCTGAAACGCGTTGATTTTTACAAAGCTCATCGGTCTGAAAAAGCGAGGTGTGCTCTGATTGGCCACCAATCCAGTGCGTTGTGATTGGCTGAATTCCTCAAGCGTGTGACGGAAATATTACGGCCCTCACCATACTGTTGATGCCGTGTCCCTGCCGGAGCCACGAGACATAAACATTAAAACCCATTACAAACGAGGCATTTGTTGCATCCAGTGGGAACATAATTACGGATTATAATGACTTATACTTCTACACTGCTCAAAACTCGCGTTTGAATCATCAGTGGCAAATTCTTTAAATATGAAAACATACTTACAGGTTGTGAGTCAGAACAGCCTGCATTGTAGGTTCAGGAAACAGTCCTCCGTTAAATGCGTTGCACACACATGAATATTTGGTTTGAACTGTTCTGGAACATTGTTGTAAATACAACTTAACCACCGATTTCTAGTTGTGCCCTCTTTTGGTAGGCCAAACAAAGTAGTTTTCGCTTTCACAACGAAACACAGCATCTTCACAACATGGCAAGCTTGTAACACTCCAAAGAGAAAGGAAAACTTGAAATCGCATCATATGACCCCTTTAATTGGTCATTCAACATATAAACTATAGCTGCTGGTTCAAATGAGCCAGTACTGCCTCAACAACGGTTAAAGTGAGTTCGACTCAATAATAACACGCCACCTACTTACGCAGTAAATGTGAGTGTTAAGTAAAGTACTACCACTCGGTGCAAAGCTTCCCTTCACGGGTCACATCTCAGCATAATGGGATCTCACAAGCATGCTTCGTTTTAACATAAAAGTCACTCTCATACTCAAAATACTACAAAGGTTTGTTACACACAAACACACATTGTCGATAGATAGATAGATAGATAGATAGATAGAGTTATCTAATTCTTTTGACCCAGAAAAATGTGTGTATTGACCGTAACAGCTTAAAAAAGGGACTGAGCATTAGATCGAACCCAGTTAAAATATTAAGAGGGTGTGAGAGCGACAGTCAGATTCCAGACTGAACAACACTGAGTCTCAGCCCAGCTCTTTGTCTACGTCTGTCACATTGAACTGTTTTCTTTGGTGTGCTCTGACTCGTTCTCCCATGAGACTGGATGGCTCATTGGTCTTGCTCCTTTGTGCTAGCCTCAGAGCATCACTCCATTCCTGCCGCTTGTCAATACTGTGATCAATGCGAGCGCACAGCCAAGTCCTGTGACTGGCGTATCTCCTTGCAACACATTTGGTGCCCTGTTAATCAAGTGATGTTTATGAATTGCTCATGAATTATGAATCTTGTCTGCAGTAAGTAAAGTAGACAAATAATAAAAAAGTATTCACAGGAGGAAATCGAAAACATTTTCCACTGTGTGTGTGTGTGTGTGTGTGTGTGTTAGAAGGTTCATAGCACTTTTTCAACCACGTCGCATTCAAAAAAAAATCTGAAACTCTGAAAATCAGATAAAAATTACAGGAATTGTAAGTTGATAAAAAAAAAAAATGTTATAATAATATAACAATAATATTTAATAACAACAACACATTTTACAGTGATAAAAAATCTAAACACAAGTTATTTTCGCCTATATCTCTTTTTTTTTTTTCAAACAAACAACTGCACCTTGTAACGTTTCCAAAACCCACCAGCAAATATAGCCTACAATAATATAGCTACTATTTGGGTTTGTGTGCTGTTCGTAATCATACTGTCATCCTCGAATAACGGGATGGAGTAAAGAAAAACAGAGCACAAAAGACACGAAGACCACAGAGCCTGTTATTCCTAAGAACAGCAAGAGATGTGAAGTCGGTGTCGGAGCTCAAGTAGAGCTGACACTAAAGCAGCACAGCATCCATCAGATGCGTTTTCAGGCACAGCAGCGCAGGTATTGTCTTGCTCTGGCAGCCAGATTAACTTCCTTATCGATGCGATCTACACAAACGCATAAAACAATCGAGATAAACAAGAAACAACTCGGCGCTCTTCTAGCGCTATCAAGCGTTGATGACTAGAGGTAAGTCTCGAGAGTTACACGTTGACATTAAAAAGCAATAATTGGATAATTGGCCAGCATATTTCCCGAAGGCAAATGATTCCGATACTATGGGAATCACGCTGAACTAAAACTGATTATTGGCTACAATAGAATAAAACTGAGTTAAACCGATATAGGCCAACGTACACTTGGGATACAAGGCAATAAAGTGCGGAACGTAATACATAATTACTTTGCTCTCAGTTTAGGTCCGAGATTACGATGAAGTCTTGCTAGACATAAAGAAGCATCCACTTCTCGCGCGAAGCTCCTCAAGAATGTAGCACACTGTAGTCCGTGCTTTATTCTCGGGGATGTGCCTAGGACAACACTAAAACACAAATAAGACACCAGCGCAAAGAAGCAACGCATTCCACCTGCTGTGTGGCCAAAGTGCACTAGCATTGAATACGATATAGGCTACGGCCGAGCCATTGAGTGAAGTAGTTCAGCACCAGCACAAAGGACAGCTCCACTGCATCAAGATAGAGATCTCACTTCAACCCTCACTGAGCGACTCACCTCCGAGAGAGCAGAGCAAGGTGTAAACAAGCAACAGGATCTCCAGGCGGGCCATCCCCGACCTAAACCCTTCCAGCCACCACATCGTGATAAACTGACTGTTTACGCTCCGACGGCACGGACGCGATTTTTATATCGCTACGCTTGTCCACATTTTCAGCTCTTGCAACGAACCAGCTGTTCGCGCATGACGTAATAGTGAAGAGGCTATTCCGAGAAAGCCCCGCCTCTTCTCTGCTGTGATTGGAGGTTCGCCACACATCCATTCAATTGATTGGCGGATGAGAAGGTCAGTCAAAGGGACTGGCGAGAATGAAGCAGGGTGAGGCTGAAAGCCGTCGAAGCGAAACGAGGCCGCTGAACCAGCGTGACACACGGTTCGAAAGCAGGCAGCTTCCGGTCGTGGTGCTGGCTCTAGAGGTCTACCAAAGTCTTTGGGTCTACGAGCCTGGCCAGCCTGGATCAAACAGCATCCATGTTCCAAAACACAAATATCAGATGAATCATTTTTTACCCCACAACGGTGAATTTATGTTGCATAGTGTTTAAAAGCCATTGTGACCAATTCAAATCACTGATAAAACTGCGTTTGCAAGGTAAATACGCCATCAAACTGACATTTTGTCAGGCAAACGCTTTGTAAAACTACAAATGTACAATGTTTTTCATGTGTGAAAGTGATCCTGAGTAGGAGGAGCGAAAGTTGATTAAAGTTCACTTACCTTCAGATAGGCTGGTTTCTTTGGTAAGACTGTATATTACTAGTCAGGTGAACAGAAGCGCAAACGAATAAACACGTCTTTCAATCACAACCTGCACTTCTCGTACTTCTTTCACCGCTAGATGTCGCTCCTACTCCATCACTGATCAGTAGTGCAGCGAATAAATATTTCAAACTTTGTGGACCTCTGCAGACATTTTTTTCTATTCTTGCATTCGCTAATATTATCTATTTTGGTAGTGTATTATAATTACCACAGGATATTCATCATATGTTGCCAAAATAGGCTAGTAAAAGATTAAACTAACAAGTTGTTGAAAAACGTTGTACCAGGACTGACTCATATTTTAAAAATATTTGAGCAAAATAAAGAATGACACTGTATGGTCGATCTCCTGCTGTTCCTTTTAACCCTAAAGATAGTTGACTAAATAATCAGATAAATGTAAAGAAAATATGATGAACATATAGTGAGTTGAAAAACCGGTAAATCGCATGAGGAGACCCATTGAATTTCCCTTAAACCAGTATTGTTTTTCATTGCATGTTCTAGACTTTATTTTGTCACCTAATAATATTTCTTGCTAACTATTCCTTTTAGTGTTTTCCTTGGTGTGTTTTTATAGTTTCAATGATGTATTTGTTGAGAATGCATTTGATAATGAATAATTTTCTGTTTGTCAAACACCATCACTGTTTTTGACAAGTCTTAATAGTTCCCAGATGCCTCTCTGTAGGATCCATCATGTGGTTACACTTTGGCCAGCTGGCCCCCCTACAGCTGCTTGAAGCTCACGTGTTCACAGTTACTGCTGTCAGACCTGCATGAATTCAGCCTGTGGAATGGAGGTCAGTGGAGAAACTCTGTGTGTGTGTGTGTGTGTGTGTGTGTTGTTTGAGTGGGTTTGTGGAGGACCACCCACATTAGCCGCATGCTTACTCAGCACTTGTGGTCTTTCTAGTCTTGCTCTCTATTGCTCAGACTATATAAACTGATGACTCATAACGGTAAAACATTTTTTATATATATATATTCAATGAATCAATTATTTTTTTCAGCAAGGAAGCAATAAATTGGTCAAAAGTGACAATAAAGACATTTATAATGTTACAAAAAGATTTATATTTCAGATAAATGCTGTTCTTTTGAACTTTTTATTTGTCAAAGAATCCTGAAAAATGTATCAATGTTTCCAAAAAAAATTAAGCAGCAAAACTGTTTTCAACATTCAAAATAATAAGAAATGTTTCTTGAGCACCAAATCAGCATATTAGAATGATTTCTGAATGATCATGTGACACTGAAGACTGGGGTAATGCCTGTTGAAAATTAAGCTTTGCCATTACAAGAATAAATAAAATTGGATAATATATTAAATAGAAAACAGTCATTGTTTATTTTTAACATATAAATGCAGCCTTGGTGAACATAAGAGATTTAAAACTTTTTAAAAATTTACTTTTTATTTTAAAAAAAAATAATTGTGAGTAGGCCTGTCACAATAACAACTTAAAAGATGTTCCATTTCATCAGCGGTCAGTAGCTTTCGGGAACTCATGTGCATGTGATTTCATGTTCCAGAGACGTACATCCTTGTTTCCCAAAAGTGACCATACAATAATAATAAAAATAATTATTATTATTCAGTCCATGCTGTTTTAGAAAAAAAAATGTAGGAGTGTCATGTAACTTATTTTTCAATTCATCCCTGAAATGACCGGCTTCCGTCGTATCATACTCTATAATACTTCAAGACAAAATTATATACAAAGCATGGAGAAAAGGAGTGTCATAAACATAGAGAAAGCATGAAAAAAAGAGTGCCATAAATCCCACCTGGACTCTTCAAAACTGTAATTATTGTGACCGCCAAGAGAAAAGAAAAAGTAATGCACTTCCTTCTCACACTATGATTTAGTGCTGTTTGTGCCAAGCTGAGTATAATCCTTCTGAAAACAGAGCAGTAGCACTACATAAGTGGGGGTTTTGATGAAGAGTTCTGCTTTGAATGCACTGAGGCCACTTATGGTGTTAGAAGAGTCCTAGTATTGTCAATGCACCATTTAATGTCACTCTAAGTCTAACCACAAACAACACAGGCAGACTTTGAATAGCTGAAGAGTGTTCCAGGGCAGAAAGCCACTTAACGACTGAGTCAAATGCAGCATTTGTTCTTCATCATTCCCATGAAAGCAGTTCTCCCATTTCTTCAATGAAATGAAAAATAGATATATATGGATTACAGTGTATCCATTATGGACTAGTAACATTTTTGCAAGAGTGCAAAAGTTCACTCTGCAATCTCTTGTCTCATATAATCAAATAATTTCAATCTGAATCAGCACTGCATGGCCATTTATGTAATTATTTGAGAAGCGTGGTAATGTATGATATATGATAATGTACAGTCAACTGATCATTATCACAAAACAAACCAATCAGGGTTAATTTTGCAATAATGACCGGCTGACTATACATTATTCTGTTTACAGTCTAAGATTAAATAATCTAATGAATCTATGGGCAATTATAGAGCAAGATGTGTCTGGGTTTGAATGTGAGAACATACTATAGCTGTAATGGTTCTGAATGATGCTGCAGCCAGGCCTTGTTGTTGTAAAAGATGGTAAATCTGTCTCAAAGATCTCAACAACTCTCTGGGTGGCTCTTCTATCATGAACAGCTTCTTTGCCAAATCAGATGGTAATGTTGGTGCTCAAGATGTTCTCAATGATGCTACAGAGAAAACATTGCAAATCTCTTGCCACATTTCTCAAACACCTTAACACAAGAAGCCACTCTGTCTTGCTTATATTTTCAATTTATGGGAGTACCTTCACAAGAGATGTTTTATCCCTTTTCCCACAGAATTACTAAACTTTCAAAACCCCTTATTGCTGTCTTAAAGATGCACTACATAATTATAGCTTCTCTGTCACCATCTGTGGCTGCAACCATTTGAGAAAAAAATTGAGGTAGGCCTACAGTATATCTACGGTTGACTGTGATCACCATATCAGAACTGATCTGTGATTTAACATCAAATCCCACTGACAAGAAGATGATGTATATCCAGAAATTTTTTTATAAAGTGTGTGTAAGCGAATAGCATATCTTCCAGCTTTTGTTCAATAAAAAAATGGTACAACTTTCTGTCCACAAAAATGTTTGAAATTTAAAAATAAAATTAAGCTAATGCACTTAATGCACTTAAAGGAATAGTTCAGCCAAAAATGAAAATTCTGTCATTGTTTACTTACCCTCATGTCGTTGCAAACCTGTATTACTTTTGCAGAAAAGTAGGAACATCAAAGAAGTTATTTTGAATAATGTTGGTAACCAGACATTTTTGGTTCCCTTTGATTTCCATTGTATTTTGCCCATAAAATGGAAGTCAATGGGAACCGAAACGGTTTGGTTACCAACATAATATCTTCTTTTATGTTCCACAGACATACAAGTTTGGGATGACGTGAGGATGAATAAATAATGACTAATGTTCATTTTTGGGTGAACTATCCTAACTCAAAAAATGTTACACTTTGAAACATGGAGCGTAACTTCAGTGGGTGAGAAACAGACTACATTTATTTTTGCATACTGTTGTTCTTAATCACTATTGTCTGTAAAGCCATCCATATGGACTTAAAATTGTACAAAACAAACCATGATTGACCTATGTTTCTGATATGCCCATAAATTGGTTAAATAATGACTAATGTTCATTTTTGGGTGAACTATCCTAACTCAAAAAATGTTACACTTTGAAACATGGAGCGTAACTTCAGTGGGTGAGAAACAGACTACATTTATTTTTGCATACTGTTGTTCTTAATCACTATTGTCTGTAAAGCCATCCATATGGACTTAAAATTGTACAAACAAACCATGATTGACCTATGTTTCTGATATGCCCATAAATTGGTTAAAAAAACAAGCTGCAAACCAGCATCCTTCCTGAAAGCACAAAAGCATAAGGGTATTAAAGATGGGTATTTAAATAAGAAAGCCTCTGTAGTGTACCTGTAGTTTATGTTTTGCGTTACTGTATATTTTACTGTATTGATTTTCAGTTCATAGTTTCGGTGTTGTTCAGATAATTCATCTAACTATAGATGTATTTAAACTTAGCAATATACATGTGATTAAAACACAATGATGAAATCATCTTTTACAGTGCATGCACACTTGACCATCCACCATTACAGCCTCACCTCAGCCTGTGTTAACATCCCCAGGTTTTTTAATATCTCTCTGTGGATCGGTGCCCTAGTTCCACAATTCTCTTGGCTTTAGTCTTCTCCTAGCACACTAATAAGTTCCATCTGTGGGTCTGTGGGATTTTTTTTTCTCCATCAAGCAC